CTTATACACTAACAACAAAATCACAGGGAGAAAAATAAGAGAAGCCACACTCTTCACACTAGCAACCAAAAAAATGAAATATTTAGGAATTATTCGCATGAAAGAAGCAAAAGACCTATACAGGGAAAATTATAATACACTGAAAAAAGAAATTGAAGATGATCTCAGAAAATGGAAAGACATCCCTTGCTCATGGATAGGAAGAACAAACATTGTGAAAATGGCCATTCTCCCAAAACTGTTATACAGATTCAATGCAATCCCAATAAAAATACCATCAACATACTTTATAGATCTAGATAAATCACTCCTAAAATTCATCTGGAACCAGAAGAGACCTAGAATAGCAAAGGCAATTCTAAGCAGCAAAGGCAAGGCAGGAGGCATCACAATCCCTGACTTGAAGTTATACTACAAAGCAACAGTAGTAAAGTCAACATGGTACTGGAGTCAAAACAGAGCTGAGGACACAGTGGAATAGATTAGAAGATATAACCACAACTACAAACACACTGAAGCACCTTATCTTTGATAAAGGAGCCAAGCAGGTTTACTGGAAGAACAACAGTCTCTTTAATAAATGGTGTTGGAAAAACTGGCTCTCCATTTGCGGAAAACTAAAACTAGACCCATGCCTATCACCATGTACTAAATTAAAATCTAAATGGATCAAAGATCTTAATATTAAAACAGAAACGCTAAATCTATTGGAAGCAAATTGAGTAGAAACCTTGAAGACATAGGGGTAGGTAGAGAATTCATGAACAGGACTCAAACAGCACGGGAAATACTTCCCAGAATCAATAACTGGGACCACCTCTTATTAAAAAGTTTCTGCATGTCAAAAAAAATCTCCAGCATAGTGAAAAGAAAACCCACAAACTGGGAAAAGATCTTAGTGAACTCCCCTCAGACAAGGGACTTTTGTCTAAAACATATAAAGAATTAAAAAAAACTCAGACCCCCAAAATTCAAAGATCCAATCCAAAAATGGGCATCTGAGATGAATACGCACTTCTCAGATGAAGAAATACAAATGGCAAATAAATACATGAAAAGATGTTCATCGTCATTAGTCATTAGAGAAATGCAAATTAACACCACACTGAGATTTCATCTCACTCCTGAAAGAAGGGCCAGGATCAAGAAAACCAACAACAAATGCTGGAGAGGCTGTGGGGAAAAAGGAACTCTCCTACACTGTTGGTGGGAGTGTAGACTGGTACAACCTTTGTGGAGGTCAGTCTGGAGATTTCTCAAAAAGCTGGGATTGGAAGTCCCATTTATTCCAGCTATTCCACTTCTAGGCATATTCCCAGAAGAACTGAAAGCATCATACCACAGTGATATATGTGCACCTATGTTTATAGCAGCACAATTTGTAATCGCCAGATCTTGGAAACAACCCAAGTGTCCATCAACTGAGGAATGGATAAAAAAGTTGTGGTATTTTTATACAATGCAGTATTACTCAGCTATAAAGAAGGATCACATTGAGATATTTATAAATAAATGGGCACAGCTTGAAACCATACTCATAAGTGAAATAAATCAAACTCGCATGTGTGAATACCGAATAGTTTCCCTAGTGTAAGAAATAATTCAAATATATAAAAGTATATGCTAATCATAATCCCCCATTATGTGGCCTTGAAGCCTTATAAAGTTTTCACTTATTAATTGGAATGGCTTTATTCTGGGCTGCTTGATATTATTGCCTGTGATGAAATGAACAGCTATTTTGAAAAAAACAAGACATCATAATAGCTAGTGCTGATTTAATATCATCTTGTTTTGAAGCCCCACCAAACTATGGCTCTTCTGTCTCCATTGGTTTTATATCATGTTGTATCTTCCTGAATTTTATTATATGTGATAGTATTAACAAAAATTGTTATAGCCAAAGAGATAATATGGAAACCACTGTTCGTTTTCTGTTAGTTGGTTCTGAATGCCCTACAATACTTTCATCCACTTGAATGGTTTTACACTGTCTTGATATGTTCGATGCTATAGTATATGAAGTTATATTCAAATATTTCAAGGAAAAAGACACTATCGTAACTACCGTTAAGTCAGGTTATTTGGTGGTGAAACACTAGGTTCTTGAAATTGTCATGCTTTGATCTGTATTGTTATGTTGTTATGTCCTCTTTTATCTCAATCTCTCCCTTATTCATTAAAAAAATTATTGTTATTTTTTAGTTAAGGGGAAAAATTAAAAAGTAGAATATATTATAGTAACTTTTTTGATTTCCTATTAACTTGATTTGAAGTCCTGTATTACTCCCACTATCTTGTTTTGACTGATTAGACTCTGTTCCGTTCTGTTTGGTAGTATCAAGTTTGAGGGTATAGACAACTACTTTGAAGGCAATAAGATTTACTATGATGCCCATTCTGGTTTGACTATTATCTTCTTTTGAAGTCCTGTAATATTTCAATGTTTAGGTTTTATTGGTCTTGTTCTGCACTGTTTTGTTCAACTTTATAATACCTAATGAGATAGCCAATTCTTTTTAAGGAAGCAAGAGGCATTATGGTAACCATTGTTGATAACCTTGTACTCTGTTTTCACATCATGTGCTATGTCTATCCTTGGTTTTGACTGACAGCTTTGTTTTGTCATACTTGGTTTTATTCTCTTCCAAAAAAAAAGTAATAAGAACTATGGGAGTAATAAAACCCAAAATGTATAAATTTTGTTGTAAACAATAGAGGAAAAAAAGTGCTCTAAAGGATACAACTGCAAGTGTGTTTAGGTGTGTTAAGATAGATGACCATATTAATGTTTTTGATTGGATCATTGAACACAACTGTTTGCAGTCTCACTGTTTGAATGTCTACTTTGTATGCTTTGATCCTGTGACTTGAGCAACTATCTCTAAGATGATAATGTGTAGTCTATTAACTGGTGATTTCTTATTGTTTTATTGTATTTTTTGTAGTTCTGTATTATTTGTACCCTTATACTGTTTTGTTTTGTTTTTTCCCTTTTTCCTTTTAAATAAAATTTTAAAAAAAGAAAACAATAGGCAAACAATAAGCAAAGTAAGACCAGTCCACGGTGTTCTTTCAAGTGTTTTTGCCTGGAGAAAGATGCTTTTTTAAGCTAGGAGGTTTAGGAAAATCCAAATTCAAGATTCCTGATTTATATGTTCAATCATCCATCTGAAGTTTCAGATATGTTTTCCTTATCAGAGCCTTGGTTGTCAGGGATATCTGTCAAGCATGCACATTTAATTTTTTTTTCAGCTCTGTCATGTTATAATCAGATACTGGGCCTGATTTTTCATGGATCTTCTGGTGGTTGCATCAGATATAAGTATCAGATATAAGTATCATTTTCTTAGACACCCTTGACATTATGAATTGCTTCCCTGAGCCTGCCATTTTCCTTTCTGAGGATGTCAAATGCAATTACCTATACACCATCTTTATTAGCATCACGTTGCCCCTACCCTAAGCAGTAGCCATGTTATCGCCCACTGCCGCACCTTGTGCCTACTCCTCACTCTAACTAGAAACAACAGCATCAGTGATTGTAAGGCCATCGAGTGTCTAGATGTGTTATCCACTACTTACCAAGAGCAAAACTGTCCCTATTAAATTCATACAGCAGGCAATATGATTGCAAAATCCCATCCTGATGGACGTTTATCCTAGAAAATCTTTGGTATCAATTGTCTTATTAGGAATTCAAAAGGCAAAAAGAGTCTGATGCAAAGCTTGAATGTAATGTTTTATTGTGGTAGAAAATACCAAGGCAACAAGAAAGAAAGTAAACTTGAGGCAGGGAGGAAGGGAAAGCAAACGCAAGATGGTTTATTACAGAACTGGCTTAATTTAAGGAAACACTAAGTGGTTTCTATCAAGTGAGACGTCTGTGGGCAGTCCAGGCACAGGCATCATTCTTTAGAATGGTTTAGTAAGGGAGAAAGGAGAGGAGCTCGCTGTTCTTTCCCATTTCCCTTGCTGATCCAGATAAGTGCTCTGGAGATTTCCTGGCTGTAACTTGGGAGCTGTGTCACCTGGCAGTCTGGTCAACTGTTAGAAAAGCCAGATCCTGCACTCTGTGCCACATACTTCATTTGAATCCAGAAAAGGGGGTTGATTCCTTTTAAGTGTTTGCCTGGGTTGAGTCTGAGTAGCCCACATTCCTATTGAAATGAATGGGAAGGGACAATGGCGTCAGTAGCCAAGATGTTCCAGTGGGTAAATGATCAAGAGCCTGGGGGTTGGTAGTACCTTGTGAAGCAGGGAATGTTCACCTACCATGCAATAACACTCTGGAGTCACAGAATTCACCCACTATCTAATTCAATCAAACATGCATGGAGGATTACTTTTATAGAGGAAACAAAACAAAACACAAGACTCTGTGTTACATGGTCAGCAATCAGACCAAGTATTTGAACCTAATGTAGTGTTTGTACTTGGGGCCAGATTGGAAGGCATAGTGGCAGTGGTCCTATGTTGATCTGACTTCAGAATGACAAAGCAGGAATTTTGTTTTTAGTATGAAATAATGTTTAGACCCATCAGCTACATAAGTCTCAACAATATACTTTAAAATGAACTACAACACATGGGATGTGTTGCAACCTAGACCTGGGCTGATGTATCATAAAAACCTTTTATTGAAATTACTCCCTAGTAAACCTTTGTTGCCCATTTATTATTTTGATGTAGTATTTTTAATTCATTGATAAAATGTTTAGTCTTCATATGGAATCCCCAAGGTCCTGTCCATGTAAACAGTATTTTTTTAAATGTAGTCTTGAAACCTCAACTAAGCATTATGTTCTTTCCCAAATTTAAAATAGTCACACCCTGTGTGACAAAGGGAAAGTAACTCCTGGGGAACTAAAAGTTGTACAAGCCTGTCTAGAAAGCAGAGGGATTAAGAAAACATAAGGTTTTTTTTTTTTTTTTTTTCTGGTTTGTTTTTGCTTGTTTGTTTGTTTGTTTTTTGGCAACAGAGACACAAATATAAATGATTTTGGCTTTAAATAATTTAATTTGAAGATCTGGCAGTGATCAGATTTTACTATACAGTTATTAGTCTTGTTCTCAAAGATCCTGAAGTATAAGCAGAAATCTGATGATCATAGTTATTCAGACATACACTCTTTGTTTCTGGTGCACTTGAGAAAATGAGCAACGTATTCCATTTTCCTTTTATAGGCTTTGTTTTTGTTATTGAAAAAGCTTTCATGTGAACACAGAATAAAAACTTCAGTGTGCAGAACTTGAACATCAGTAGAACAAAAGAATATATTTAAAGTGAAATAAGATACTCAAGATTGTCTGAGGGTTAGGAAAGGAAAACTTGCTCAGCATTCCTCCACTGTATTTCCTTAGTGCTTTTTAAATTTATTTATTTATTTATTTTGGTATTTTTTGGAATTACACAGGACCTTGCACTTGCCACGCAGGCACTTGTGCCGCTGAACTATACCCCCGGCCCTCAGTGCCTTTTAAGTCCCTCTTAACTTTGCTGGGTCCCGGGGTAGTGTAACCGATGGTGGAAAAGAGGAAAAGAGTATGCTCTGCCCGTGAGACCTTGGTGAGGGGACAGAACAGCAAAGGAAGCACCTCCTGCTCCAAAGGACACCCAAGATACACACAGGGGAAAAGATCAATGCAAACGTGGTTCTTAACTATGGTTCTCATAGAAATAAAGAAATGTCTTGGGTAGATGATGGAGCTCAGCAGCACAGTGCCCACCTGGCAAGCATGAGGCCCTGAGTTCAATTCCTGGGACCAAAAAAGAAAATAGTTAAAAAAAAAAAAAGGCATTTCTCTTCTAAAGTATCAAGTAATTGTATACAAACTAGAATGACTGAAACTGGGAAGGCCAAAGATAAGATGTGAGCTCATACAGTAATGTCTAAACAGTAAAATGCAATGAATACAAGTTCCTTGAACAGAAAGTTCCAGAACCAGAAGACTCTTAACAGTTCACACAGAAATTTGAGTGCCCTGGGTGTTAACAACCCAAAAACATACACTTTAGCACACAACAAATACAAAACAAAATTTCAGAATACAGTAATTGTAATGCAAACTGTTTTAAAAAATCTGTTTAATAGCTTTCAACACAAAGACACAAACACTACCGAAGAATTTGTTTTTGCTTTATTTAACAATGTGGCTTACAAGTTTTTTCAAGTAAAAAGGGTTTTTTATTTAGAATAAAAATTAAAATATAACTCTGATATAGATTTTCATTTATTTACATGAAAACATATATACAGAATACCATCTTACAGCAAACTAACAGCATGCCCTCGTCCTGTAAATTTCAAAAGACACCAATTTTTCCCATTTATGCATCAAAACACACAAGATATGAATCAAATTTCAATACTAACTATTCAAATTGGAACGGAACACAGTTAAAGGATTTCCAACATTCACAACTAGGGATAGTTTATGCTTCTAGAGATCATGCTAGCTTCCATTCTGAACAAGAAATGAAATGATTACCTCCACTCAAAAACATTTGCCTCAGATTTCCCATCTCAAGGTGGGTTTTCAGCAAACGATTGTCCTAAAACGTTCCTTTCCTTTCAGAGCACCTCTCTTCTGTTCCCATGGAGCACTGCTGTGCCTTGGTTATGTGGCATGGTCTCTATCTCACTGGTGCCGGATGCTGGCCACAGAGTACAAATCCAGTGAAACTCCAGCTCCAGAAATTGCTTGAGTTGTTGTCACTTAAAGTGGAGAGACTTTTAACCAGAACCCAAGGCAGCACCATATGTTAGGAATTACTATTTTTAGGTAAATGTATTGAAAGTAGATTTTAGCATATCATGTTCTGGATATCTGTAAACCATTCTACTGATAACAGTTATGAGAATTAATCAACCTAAAATTTATACCAAGTTAAAGGCAGTAATTTCCATAAAATTTCTGAACAGAAAAGCGGAATTAAGAGAATTAATGAATTGTAATAGTTGGCAATAAGAATATAGCTTTCCCTTATTATTTAGTTATTGCACGAAAAAGACACACACAGAATGTATATCTTAAAAGCTACAGATAGCTTAACTTACTATGTTTTCTTTCAAATAACTGCACACTCAATCACAGCTTTCTAAAGACAATATAGAGTAACTGGAGCCTAGAATTACCATCTTAACCCAAAGCAGCAATGATGTCAAATCACAACAAAGACCTGAACACTCTTCTTTGTTTTGGACCTATGTACACAATTAAATATACATGGGTGTTCTACAAAACTAGCATGAAAACACTGAGAGGGACAGCTCTTTAATGGGGTGTTTGGTATCAGACAGAAGGCAAATTCAACACTCGCCTCACACAACGCTAAAAATTCTATGATAAATTAGGAAACAGATCAATCTTCAAAAGGCTGATCAAAATCAACCTTCCAGAGATTACAATAAAGGTCAGTAGTGGCAGGGTTAAGGTTTAGATCATTTTAATTTATTCAGGGACAAATCAAAGGGAACACAAAGGAAATGATGTTTGAATATGATCAAATAAAGTAGAGGAATCTAAGTAGCTGTACAGATCAAATACTATGTGTGACTCAAATTTTGATCAAAGGAATTTAATTTTTAAATTGACACATGAGTTCTCTGTGTAGCTCCATGTTGAAGAAACTACTGTTGAAAAGCAAAGAAGTTCTATAATACCTGTAGTACCCTGTTCTTTTCAGGTTGGTTTTAAATTTATTTATTTTTTTTTTGTGTGTGTGTGCCAACAGGATATTTTTTTTACAACACAGTACAAACACAATAGGAAAGTTAGGAACTGAAACCAGCCCCAGTAGTTTTGGGGCAGGATTGATTACTAACACTGAAGTGAAATTTCTGTTTCTTAGGTTATATACAATGTTGACTGCAAGGTACCTGCTGGCCTAGGTCCTGGAGGTAATGAGTGGCCTGGTGTCCACTATCCAGTTGAGTAAAGGAAGGACTTTGGATTCAAAGGAAAATCAAAGATAGATAGAGAAATGGTACCATCCAGGGATGGGGCATCATTTGTCGGTGTTTAGATCAAGAAATGTTTGGCTCATGGATTATGGCAGCATGGGGTACAGGTATAAAACCCACTGTTCTGCAATTAGCAACAGGGACACAATCTAGCACAATCCTCCCTGGACACTGGCTCTATCTTTAGGTGAGAAGCTGGTGAGAGATGAATCTAGAGAGAAGTGAAAACTACTTTATAACTGTCACAAAATTGCTCCCTATGTGAAGAAGTACACCCACAATGGTGGAATGCCCAAAGAACCTATGTTCAGGGAGACACTGGCAGCTCTCCTTGATTCTGCAGAACTTCTCAGTTCTGGAGAGTTGGGAAGACAGCACACAACATCCAGGACGATGGTCCCCAGCCGGGCACTCTTCTGCTCTGGGTACAGCTGTTTCCTCCCTGTCATATCACACAAAGCTGAAGTCCAAAAGGTGGCTGAGGGTTAAGAACAGTCTCGGACATTTGGCTCCAGAGGAAGCAAAAAGCTTCTCCCAGCAACTGTGGCATATTCTGCATGGGCTTCTTCATGTGTGATGCTCCAACTTTCTGCACAGACTAAGGAGACTCCTAGACTTCTGATGTAGCACCTCCTCCTCTATGCCATTACCAGAAAGGGCATGAAAAGGGGACACTCATTCTCAAAGGAAAATACTGTGTTGCAGCTGCAACGTGTTCTCATCTTTACTTTCAACGCAACAGAAATAGCTCAGATTGAAAAGGCCACAGTGAAGGATCATAAAGGAGTAAGTACAGGCAAAATGGCACAGATCTTGAAATGGATACCCTTCCCAATGCCAGGCAATTTAACTCCACAAGACTGAACATTTAAGGCCAAAGCACGTGGCTAGAAGGCAAGAGTGGGGAAGTGAGAAGAGGTCACACACTTCAGGTTGGAAGAGAGTCATGCAAGCCAGCCATGAATCACCAAGATATTTCCATCTTCACATCATCATGCAGGACAAACACCTCCTCTAAGAAATACCAGATGGATTCATTCCCCAGGTGTTAAAAGCTGGACTGTAGGAATCTGCTCCAAGGAAGATTATAGGTCCAAACCACAAAATGTCTGCTTTTCATGTTCATTGGCAGCTGTTACAAAATGTTAAGGTTGGCATGAATAATATGTGGTAAAGGCTAGTAAGTCCACCACTCTGTGTTACTGGTAAGATTGAGACTCTAGTCAAAGAAAAAGATCAATATAATTATGGTAAAAACACAACAACAATAAAATAAAGAACAACAAAAAAGCCTCAGAAGATGTAAAGCATCTGTGAGTGTCCACTTCTGAATAATATAAATGTTTGGTTTCCTTGTGTCAGTTTAAAAGGCATTGAAGCAACCACATCAGAGCAGAACGGTCCTTTTGGATTTGCATGAGCAGGCTGAGCCCCTCATAAAACATACAGATGAAGTGCTGGGTATAAAAGGCCAAGCACTTTGCAGAGCCACAGATTTGTCTGCAAGTGTTTTAGCTGATTTAACACAAGTGCCCAGGAACTTCACAAAGCTAGTGTGAGTGGCAGGAACTGCAGGCTTAAAAGCTGGTGTTGGATGCTGCTTTTCTCTCTCTTTTTTTCCTTCTGGTTAACCTGAACTTTCCTTCCAGCATGAGTGAGAAGGAGACAGGACGATGGACACTTACCAGTACACTGTGATCTCACGTCTGTCCTTTCATGGGGATTGAGATGAAGAGTGATGGAAAGTTGCCCAAGATCACACAGTTGGTCATTAGCAAAGCCAGGATGAGAACCAGCTGACTGTAGCGCCAGGGCATGCTCTGTTGTATCTGGCCAGGGTCCTGCCTCCTCATGCCTATTGTATACATGTCTAGGCAGGGACAGAAATGAGCAGAAGGGATGGGCAGAGACTTGTTTGCAGTTGCATACTGCAGATCCTAGGGGATGTGGCTAATTGATGAACTACTTCTTCCAAGTGGACATTTCCCTCTAGTAGTTACTCTTTGATCTGGTTACAATTAAGTTACAATGTTGTGATTCTCTAGCAGGCTAGATAGAATAATCTCCATAGATGCTCCAGGTTCAGTCACTCAGGAAAGACCGTCTCATTACTTCCCAACACGTTTCCAATGTTCCCCCTACTTCTGAAAGGCACCTCTGAGGACGGAGGTTTGGTACTGTGTGTTATAATGATATCCTCAAACATCACACACAGCTACATCAGAGAAAGGAGTTGCCATCAAGATCAAACCACAATAATACACATGTATTGATGGGAAAGGTACGTCTATAAATATGCCTGAGAAGGATCATAGCAAAAACTATCAGCAAGGGAGTATATATCCTTCTTGTTCATATAGCAGAAGATGTCAACTGTGCCCAACTTAGTTCTAGTTGAATGTGGGACTCAGTTTAGGAAACCCTGTTCAAAGGAAGCTGCCTGGTTTGGGGTGGGGCAAAGGCAAAATGTGGACGTACGAAGAAGCTCTTGCACATCCCCTGCAGAGTCTGATGCAGAACTGTAACTCCCCAGAAGTCACAGCTGTGGTATTTCATGTACTTTAAAAAGATAGATCTATCAGACATGCTGGTGGATATAGGAGGTTCTCAGCTTCTGGCTTTCTGGTGACACACAGTGAATGTACCATTTCACATATCCCAGAAAAATCAAAGTATCAGTCCTGGAAACCGTCAATAATATCACACTGCGAAGATAATAGACCACCTCCAGAGAGGGTCAGTTGGCATACTGGGCATAGAAAGCCACTTTAACTCTTTCAATCTGATGACATAACTTGATGGCGGGTCCCAGCTTCAGCTCCATGCACTCCTGCACCGTCGGAAGAGTCAGCAGTAGGAGCGCCTGGCCATCAATGTCCTGCCAGAAGACAAAGCCAGGTTAGAGAAGAGGCTGCATGCACCTGGGGAATGCATGGATCACACAGTCTTCATTGTGGGACCACGTCTGGGATGGGGCTGCTCTTTTGGAAGAGGGTGGCATAGATACCAAACTTGGCTTGATGACTGTCTAATCTTTGTCTTTTTTTTTTTTTTTATTTTTGCCAAGAACATTTTGGCTACTCTAAAATTCACAGGCCTAGCCTATCTTGGTAGGTACAAAGACCTGGACCAGGTAGGCTGCTATGGGATTCATTACCCAAGCTTACTGTCCCTTTCTGGGACAATAACCTCTACCACCAGGCCAGATCCTTCCTGTATAAACGCTGAGTACTGGTAAAGAGCTTACTACTAAAAGTAAAAACTCTGTTACTTTCCAGCCAACATCTGACATTTCATAATCAGAAGGAGTGTGAAGATGCTAAAGACATATATGCCAACTATACAGCATGCTTTTCCATAGAGGAAAACAACACACACACACACACACACACACACACACACACACACACTCCTGTTTGTCACACCTGCCTGGGTCACTTAACTTTCCCCACTGCTACATACCTATGGAGATGGACACACTCTATGCTCTTATATGTACATGATACACAGGGTCACTATTTATGGCTAAAGAAGCTACATGGAGATTACTCTATGGTGCCTAATTGGAATCGAAGCCAATAGAGTATGCCAATCTGACAGCTGAAGTCACATCTTGAGAGAATGTCTTATACTGCAGAGACCTTATAAGACAGAGTAAATGGATCCCTAGATGTATACATAACAACACAGGGACACAAGAAGTAGGAAAAATGGTTCCAAAGGAGCACAGTAATACTAGAAATAGAAATAAAAGATAGGGAAACTCACGAAATGCTTGAAAAAGAATGGCTCTAAGGAAACTCAAAGAAATGAAAGACACAGATATTTCAATGAAATTAGGAAAACGATTCAAATTGTAAATGAGAAAGTCAACAAAGTTATAGAAATCATGAAAAAGAGCCAGAGAGAAATACTGAATCTAAAGAACTGTTAATGTGATGCAGAGTCCTAACAACACACAAAATCAAGTTGAAGTAGGAACTTCTGAACCTAAAGGCAAGTGTTTTGAAATAACCTCCTCAGATGAAAAAAGAAAAAAGAAAGAAACTCTCCAAAACTTATGGGATGCCATTAAACAAAGAAATATTCAAAGAATAAGCCTTCTAGAAAAGAAGGGAAATACACAGACAAATCTACTTGAGAAATAATAGCTGAAGACCTCCCAAATTTGGGTGAAAACATGGATATCTACATCCAAGAGATTCAGAAGATCACAAAGTGTCATATTATGAGGGAGGATCCAATAAGAAGCCTTTCTGGTAAGCCATGCAAGCCACATGGCTTCCAGGAGGAGAAAAGTCAGCACATCCCATGAGCCTACCATCTTGCAGGCTAAGAATCAATACCCCTCTCCCCACAAACAACCTGCTGGTTCTGAGGACAGGTTGAGTTGATAGCAACTAAGGTATATAAAGCAACTAAATGCTTGTATTATTGGGCTGATTTTGCAGGCCTGGGGCCAGTAGTCTTGAGCATCTCTTGGGAGGATGACAATATGCAATATAGCAAATAGGGAGATTTCCTTCTATCTTGTCTTTGAAATTCAATATTCTGATTGTTTTACTTTATGCAATATTTGTTTTGATTTTTTTTTAAATTTTATTTAAAAGGAAAAAGAGAAAAAACAAAACAAAACAAAGCAGTGTAAGGGTACAAGTAATACAGAACTACAAAAAAAAAAAAAAAAAAAAACAGTAAGAAATCACCAGTTAATAGATTACATATTATCATCTTAGAGATACTTGCTCAGTTTTGATTGGTTTTATTCTATTTTGTTTTTGGTGATTTCCTATACCTGATGTATTGGACAACTATTATGAAGATAACAAGATATACTATGGTATCTATTATTGTTTTCCTAGTATCCTGCTTTGAAGTTCTATACCAATTTTGCTGCTTTGTTTTGACTGGCTTTGTTCTGTTTTGTTTTGTTGGATTTCATTACCTTTTTTTTTTTTAAAGTGCCATATTATGGCATTCTGTCAAAAATCAAAGTCAAAACAGAATTCTAAAATCAGCTAAAGAAAAATGCCAAGTCATATTTAAGAGAACCCCCCTTATACTAACCGCACATATTTCTCAGCAGAAATCCTATAGGCTAGGAGAAAATTAGATAATATAATCAAAATTCTGAAAGAATAGAAAGCTTGCCAACCAAGGTACTATACCTAACAAAGCTGTGGTTCAGAAATGAAGGAGAAATAAAGAGCTTCCAAGACAGGTAAATGCAGGGAATTCATCTCCAGTAGACAGAATTTAGAGGAAGATGCTTAAGGGAGTCCTAAACCTAGACTCAAAATGAAGATAACTACCATCATGAAAACATACACATACATGGGCAGGTGTGCACACACACTTCCACACATCTCCACGTACACCTTGCCCAGAGTGAAGTGCTAGTCCTTCTATTGAATATACCTACCCCAAAGCCCGTGCCATTAAATGATCATTACATTGAATATGCTACCATGAAGCATGGATAAAGACTCATTCCAAAGGTTGATGAGCATTCTTCTGGACTTTTCTGGCTTCTAATCCTACAATAACCTGATTTGCTAATATGGATGTCTTTTGATTGTGTTATATTCCAGAGGAAATTGTAGTGGCTCAAACAGATGGTCAAACTAAGGCAAAGATAAAAATTAGTGGTATCATGACAGCATAAACCAACTTACCACATTACAGTTTCTGCCACTCAGAGAAGCTTTATAGCCAGAGCTGCCATAAGTCACAAGGACTAAATAGCCACATGATAGCACACAAGCAAGTGTTTCAGACATCATTTATCAATGAATTTCACAAAAGGTGCTAACTTTCTTAAACTGATGGCTTATTTAGCTGTCTTATAAATATCTAAAGCAAATGGTAGCCTTGTGAACACTGGTGTCAAGAGTAAGCATGATTGATCACCTAACTGAGTTCAAAGGACTGATGTTTAGACAAAAAATAATTTACTATCTGATTAGATTCAAAAGCCATAGCCTGCCCTAATAAACACAGCCGTAATAAAATCAAGTATTTACTTAATGTTTGTGCAAATGCACAAGCACTTGCAATTCATTACTTTTAAATTACAGATGAGCACCAGCTATGATGTGTGTAACTATAAGCCATGTCTCAACAAAGACTTATGTGACCTTATCAAATCAGAAAATAAACAGATCAGTCAGCATCACTTTGACAGGCTCCTGCAGGGAGTGTGCAGCCATCGAGAGAGCTGGAATGCACACAAGGTGCTTTCTGACAGAGGACAAAGGGAGGAGACCTTTTTAAGGCAAGTCCTGAGCTCTCCTCAAATCCTCCTTTTTTATGTGCAACTTACAGGGGAAGAAAGGAGGAAGATAAGAGTTAATTCTGTAAAGCTAAATGTACATAAGTGTATAAATAGGTATATATGTGTGTATCTGTCTATACTCAAAGTACAAATTCAAATCTAGATCTCCAGATAAAAACTTGAAGATAGCCTCACTTTCAGTCTTTCTTAAACAGTTCTGGGGGCTTTTGTCCACAACTGTGCAGCCTTTGTAGTACAGATCCTGGGCATAAATACAGGGCTTCTAGGACTTTAAAACCACTGATTTTTTCCTAGGCAGTCAAAATACTTATCCTAGGGATGCTATTGTGCCTTAAATCAAACATGAGGACATGTTGGTTTCCATTCCTGGAGAGTTTGGCTCACTTCAATAAACTATTCCTCAAACTCCAAGCACTTGCCTCCTGGGATAAATATGTGGGATAACAAAAATTCTGTGATTAATTGTATAGAAATGACCAGAGTGACTATCACTGTCAAATTCTCCGCCCATTCTAGGGTACAGCAGGCAAGGGTACATGAGGTGTCTTAGAGGAACAAAGGACACAAAAATATTTCCTGAATGGAGAAATCACACAACATATATCTGAAATACAGTCAGGCTTTGACATTAAATGCTATAACTGCCTAATTCTTTTCCAAAACTGGATGGAGAATATACTCTCTTTCCCAGAATATGGCACTTCCAGTTGCTTTGAGAGAAAGGCTTGGTGTGGCCTCTGCCATCATTCACTGTCAGCACCACCCTCTGCTTCCGAAGTCACCTTCCAACCTCCCAGCCACTGCCTGTTCCAGGAATCTCAGTTCCAATCTCACTTCATGCCCAGTAATCCACAAAGACCCCTGGCCTCTGCTTTTGTGGAGTTGAAGAGGGATTCCCAGGCTTGCTGCAACTGACATCAACTTTTGCGGCTAAGTTCAGTACTGTTTCTTCCCTGATCTCTCTATTTACAACTAAGCCCTCTCTTCTGCTAATGACACCGCTGCTTTGTTCTCTTTTGTGCATCTGCCAATTGTGCATTTGTCTGTGATCCCCAGGCAAGTGTAAGCCTTTAGGGTGTGGGTTGTCTTATCTATCTGTTTTCAAGCAGCTTTTAATAAAGCACCTTGCACTCAGAGGTTATCCCATCTTCTTGTAGAAATGAGAAGTGTTACACATAATTGGCCATAAAGAAATCAAGGGCTTTCTCAATTAGTAATCTTATATTGACTCAGAAAAACTGATCATCAGAAAGTCTTTTCTTCCCATTAGCTGGCACAAGGCAAGCCCATAAATGCGTATTCAAGTACTGGGTGACATGACACCGAGAAAGAACAGGAGACGCAAGCTGTGGGAGATTTGGAAGAAGCATTTAAGGCAGCAGTGTTACAGCTGGTGCATCAGTGAGCATCCTCAGATTTCGTAGGGTTGGGGTTTCCAGGCTGGGGAGCTTTATTACAATGCATGTATTTGAGCCTTCTGTTTTGGAAACAATGGAGGAGAATTATTAAATAGACTGGGCACAGGGGCTCCATGCATTTTTACAAAGACAGAGATATGTCCATCACAAGTCAGGTTAGCAATC